ATGTGGAGAAGGGCCCGCGGTGAATCATGAGCCGTGCTGTCAGCTCCCGTGTGCTGCCACCGAGCTGAGCGGAGAATTGGCTGCGCTTGTGCTGAGTTCAGGCCTTTTGAGCTCTGGGGAAATGTGTTGAGGCTGCAGTTTCTTCATTGCAGTCATAGTGTTTGGCACTTTTCAGTATGATCTTTCTTCAGGAAGCTATCAAAAGCTGAGCCATCAGCAGTCTGGAGAGTTAGGTCAAGTCTGGTCTCTGCTGTGGTGCCAGTTCTCTGGGTGTCCTCTCTGCAAGCTGCCAAGCAGCCCAGTTCAAACGGGATCCAGGGAATAGCCAACAACTCTTGGTTGTTCTTCCCATTCTACTGACTGCCTTGTGTGTTGCTGCATCTCATTTTGATCCCCTCGGGAAGTGGGATGAGAAGAGATGGGATCACCAGGTGCTTTTTGGGACAGTCCTGTTGCAGCTGTGGTGGGAGGCTCCTGCCCAAGAGTTAAGAGTGCAGAGACAGGAACGAGTCGCTGCCTCTGCCGTGTCCAGCTCTGGCAGTGTCTGCTGTTCCCCAGCCTGCTGAAGAGCTCTCTTCCCAGTTCCCTGCCTGATGCAGCACGTGTGTGCCCTGTTTGTTTTGTTTCGGCTCTGTGTAATGAAGGCAGCCTGAGTGCTTGCCAGGCAGCTGGAAATTCTTTAGCACCACAGGGCAAACAAATTCCCGCGGTCCTACTGGTCATACCTGCCCTCGGCTCCCTCCGCTCGCCAGAGGACTGAGCACAGAGGAGCTGCACGGGCACACTGTAGGTCTCCCCAGCTATTCCCTTCCTTCTCCCATTTCCTCAGCAGCCGTGTGTTTACCAGGTAGGAACAGAGAAAAGAAACACAGCCGTCTGGGAAAGAGGGAGGAATTGATTTTGTGAAGCAGTGGCTCTCGTGCTGCCCTCCTGCCTCAGCCTCCCGCTGGGCTGCAGCTGCTTTCCCTGGGCGGCAAAGTGACCCTTCCCACGCCGGCGCGCTCGGGCGTAGCGGACATCTCGTCGGAAGGAGCATTGTCCTCTGGGTATAAATAGCCTGGCTCCTGGCAGGCTGCAGGCTTTGGGAATGTCTCTGCTGGTGTCCTGGGGGCTGCTGGCCCTGCTCACCTCTCGTAGGTGGTAGATGCACTGCAGGGAGGCTGTATCACAGCTGCTGGAAGAGCACACAGAGTCATATTTGCTGACTCGTGCATCTGGTTCTGGGCTGTAGCTGCACATCAGCACCACTGGCAGCAAGGCAGGGACAAACAGAAGTGTTCACTGGCACCTGAGAGATGAAGGGGACACTGGAACTCTGGCCTGCCCTGAGAGGTGTGGGACCAGGCTGAGGGGGTAAGGTTTGGGCCGGGGGGGAGCAGTCATGTCTGTTGAGCAGTATCTGCGTGGATCAATTCCTTGGCCAGTGTAGTAGCACTCTGAACTAAAAAGCCTGAGGGGAGGAGATATGTGGGGACAGAAGCAGGAGCCTGGGTATGCCTCTGTAAAAGGAGTCCTGGGAATTGCTCTCGCCAGTTCTGAAGTCCTGTCTTCCATGGCAGGGAAGGCGTCTGTTTGCCTGTTTTTTGGTGTTTGTAATCTTTGTTTTCTTGTGAGCACAACTTGACTCTGAAGATAAGGAGGGAGATGTTTTTGGACTATGGCACTGCCAGGGACCAACAGGAATTTTCTCACAGAAAACACCTGCAGCTGGGGTCAGCTTTGCATGACTGAGAGAGGTGAAGACTGCTGAGGCATCAGCCCAGATTGTGAGGGGATTCCAGTGTATCCAAGGCTTCCCCTGTGCTTCTTGCCCAGGGCCACATATTCTTGAACTGTACTGGTTGCATCCTTGGGGGTACCTGGAGTCTGCAGGACTGGGGAGCTCTGGGCTGTGCCTGGGCACCTGTTGGCAGGGTGTGTTGGGGTGACTTGCACTGGTTGGGAGTGAGAAGGATGAGGCTGGGAGCGCGCGGCGCGGAGTGCAGCCTGCTGAGTCAGCATGACTGGCCCGGAGCAGTCGTGCTCTGGACCCTGCCTGCTGCCTGCCAGGCTATTTTTAAAAATGTGGCTTCCGTGTATTCTGACTCCTCCTAGTTTTTTAATTTCCCCCACCCCAAGCGAAAAACCAGCACTGCCACAAAGTCTCGGTGGGAGCAGGGGCGTGGAAGGGCAGCAGTGACTGCGGCTGTGAGTCCAGCTCAGCCGAGCAGGGAGGGGGGAGTGGATGTGCAGCAGCA